CCCCCTCCTCCCCCCTCTCCTCCTATCGTTGTCTGGGGCCCACGAGTGCTGTTTACGGTTATTTAGGCGCAGGCACTAAGTTCTCTCTCACACTCTCCCTTGAGTGTGTCTGTGTGTGTGAGTTTTTTTACGAGTCTAAGGGGGTGGGTGGGTGTGAGGGAGGCACTGGGATTGGCCGTATAAAAAATACTTATTTGCAAACTTTTGTGGCGGCATCGCTGAGTCATTCAAGGATGACAATGAGGCGGAACTGGAAGCTGGAGACGAAGGCGAAGACGTAGACGGAGGCCGGCACTGGCTGGAGGATGCCTACAGGTGCCCCCAAGGGCAGGCGCGGATTTTTAGCAGCTCGGGGATTAGACACCTCCCCGAACCCCAAGCAGGGCGGATGGGACGCTCCCCTCTCCGTGCTCCAGGGAGGTGGCATCGTGACTCACGAACGGATACACACGCTCCCATCGCTAGTTCTGGGTGGGTGCAATGCTGGGACAAGGTTATCCCTCGTCGGTGGCGCCACGGAAGTGCAGAGCGCGCAACTAAAACTTGTTTTCCTTGCACTGCAACTTGCTCCACTTTCGTCCTGCTCCAACTGCGCCACAACCTTGAAACTTCCTCCTGCGTGCACCAAGCGGGGAGAACCGAACAGAACGGGGAACGGAGAACCAAACGAAGCCGGAAGCTGTAACCGGAGCCAAAGCCAAAGTCACAGTCAGAGTCGCAGTCGGTGGCAGAGGCAGAGGCGGAGGCAGGGTCTGGTGTGGGTTATCCGCTTTACCTGCCACACAGCGAGAGAGTGCCCGTACGAGAGCGAAGGACTAGCGAGGACGAGTATGAAGTTTAAAAGTTGGGCTTAGGCCTGAAACCAGGAGGAAGTTTAGCCCATTGCGTGGGGCAGTTCTCTTCCAGGATATTAGCAGGGATATTAACAAATATATTATGGCCAAGCCAGGCTCCTCTTTCTTTGGCCTGCGGCAAAATGAATGTATGTAAATTAAGAGGGAGAAAGAGGGAGATAGAGCAGAGGCTTCCTCGTGGCTTTGCCGCGCAAATCCAATAGGAATTTATGTCATTTAAATGTACGAAAATGCGTAAAACGGCTTGCCTTAAAACAAAATATATGACCCGGTCATATATAAGCACACGGAGGACGAGGTCCCAACGCAATGGCAACGCTTGACACTGTCAAGGTGCTGCAGTCAGGACAGGACCCGAAATGCCGCACAATTTATGCGTTTGCCGTTTGCCAACTGCCAAACAGCAAAGGAGCTCCACGAAAGATATAACGACTGCAGGATACCCACTAATCAGATGTATTTTGAAGTTAACCAGCAGGAAAGGCACATTCCAAGGAATACAATACACAATATGCCCATTTTCCGTAACGATTGATGGGTACGCCACGCTCAACATTGAATGCTGAATTATTGTATTCCGGCTCTGCTCTGCCCGTACTCTTCCAAACTGCTGATTTTCCAATCAGTGCACACTTTGATATCGCTGCGATGAGGCAGCTTATTGAAAATATTTGTCTTTTGCCGCCAAGCGAAACCCAATCCGAGGACCGATGCGATTGCTGTGTCTTCATTAGTCTCTGTCGGAGAATCAGAGGCGGAAAACAAAGGGAGGAGAGAGGGTATACATGGAACACAGAGCAGGGGAGCACAGCAGAGTACAGAGCAAGGAGCACAGGTCAGGACAAAGTCAAAGATTTCCTCGTCAACTCCCTCAGCGATGCTTAAATAATAACTTTTCAGCGACAAGAAGACAATGGGCTCAGGACAAGGACCAGGACAAGGACCAGGCCCAGGCCGGGACCTGTCACACGGGCCACGAAGAACCAAAGAGAAGAGGAGAGAAGGGCAGCAGGACAGACATTTTCCATGCGTTTCCACTGGGCAGCATCTCACAGAGAAAAAGGCAGAAAGGAAGCAATTAGGATTAATTGATTGGTTCGACGATAAGAATTAAGCTTTTATTGTTTCCCCAGAAACTCCACTATATAATAAGTAGTGTGTTTAAACAGAGAGGCTGTTTGCATTGGGCGTATAATGGAAACTCAAGGATGTGGAAGGCCAATTTAAGCCGGAAGTTCATTTTCGAGGCTGTTCTTGCTTAGCTTTTTCAAGTGGGACATTAGACAGACGTAGAAGAGATATTTCAAAGGAAATAAAGGATATTTAATATATATAAATATTTTAATATTGTTTATCAAGATCAGCTATCAGGAATTTCCCCAACACTCAGGCACTAGGATGCATGGGAGAACACTCGCTCTCCGATAAACTCAAGAACAATTGCACCCCAGGCGAAGAGCTGAAAGATACTCAATAAAAATCCGCATTCAAGCATTCTAATTGAACGACCCTATTACTTGCGGATATTACAGTATTCCTTACTGTACGAGTATCCAGCCTTTGCCATGTGCATCCCCTCAGAGTGGAAACACTTTTGGAAGCAAGAACAAGCGAGAGAAGCGCGCCGTGCCGTGCCGTGCCTCGCCGTGCCGCAGCTTGTTATTTTTGTCAACAGTAGGGCACATGAGACTTCATTTTGCCAAAGCCACGGCCCGGGATGAAATAAAAAAAAAGAAAAGAGAAAACTTTTCAACTCTCGATGCAACTTAAAAAAAGGACAGATATATACACTATATAAAGTGGGAAGGAAGTGGAGGAAACGCATGTGTTTTGTTCTCTCTCTTTCTCGAGGAGTGGAGGCAGCGGTTGAGGCGGTGGAGACGGTGGAGTCCCCCCTGGGGAGCAGATGGCGGATTTGAAGTGCGGCCTCCTGGGGCTCCTCCGTCGTCCTCCGTATGACAATTGTGTTTTTTCTACTTGAATATTTGTCTCATTGCTCTACGCTTCTTTGTCGTCCCCCCTCCCTACCTCCCACCCCCCTTCCGTCTGTCTGTCTGGGTCTATTCACCATCTTTGTTTTTGCAACTTTTTTCCGCCCGCTTTTCCTGGCAATTGCCGAGCAGCTCAGCGAGCAGTGAAAACTAAAAATATGGCCAAGTTTGGCTCTGGGCGATCTCCATGTGAATTTATGGTCCGCTTCGCGTGGGAATATCCCGACTGTACCCACCCACCCCCTCTACGGCACATATGTATGTATATACATAGATATATACACATATCTGAAGACCAGAGTGTGGGAATGTGTGTGCTTTTTGGCTTTGACTCTGTGGCAGGCAACGCCGCCTGGTTAAAGCGCCGTGAAAATGCTCGCAAGGAAATTGAACGAGGGGGAACGTTGTGAGTTGCTGCGGACCCCGCAACTCTACGGTTATACCCGATACTAAGTCAGTATGGCTCTCCTCCGGCAGACGCCGCTAATATTTAACGACACGACAAAGAGTGCGTGCGAGAGAGACAGAAAATCAGTCTGAGCGTGACGTCGGGCGCTGCGTAGCCACTGCAAATTGATTTGTTACTTTTGGCTATAAAAATGATCTGATCTGATCCAGATTCAGCAATCTAATAGATATGGTCATTATCTATGATTCTGCGTTTCTAGTTTTCTCAAATCTGCAATATTGTGGATGCAACAGATTTTCGTCCTTTGTGGGGGCGGAAGGGGGTGTGGTGAAATTTTGAGATATACGTTTTATAGTGAGATCTAACAGAAGTGCGGATACTAAATTTGGTTACTCTAGCCTTAATAGTCTCTGAGATTTATGAATATCCCCAGATCTGCATCCTTTGCGGGGGCGGAAGGGGGTGTGGCGAAATTTTGAAACAAACTCGTCTCGGTCCGATATATTTGGAGTGTGGATACCAAATTTGGTTGCTCTAGCTTTTATAGTCTCTGAGATCTAGGCGCTAATGTTTTACTCTAAGCAAAGCCGCCTATGCTACGTGTGTGTTAGAGAGAGACAGGGCGAGAAAAAATGAAATTGTTTTCTTGATGCTGGCTATAATAATAATACGATCCAATTCAGATTCCGCAGTCTAAAAGATATAGTCATCTTCTACGATTCTGCGTTTTTAGTTTTCTCGTATCGTCGAAATTGTGGATGCCACAGATTTTCGCCCTTTGTGGGGGCGGAAGTGGGCGGGGCAAAGTTTTGAAATATTTTTGGAGCAGTGACATATCACAGAAGTCTGGATCCAAAACATCGTTGCTCTAGCTCTTATAGTCTTTGAGCATTAGGCGCTGAAGGGGACGGACAGACGGACAGACGGACAGACGGACAGACGGACAGACGGACGGACGGACAGACAGACAGGGCTCAATCGACTCGGCTATTGATGCTGATCAAGAATATATATACTTTATAGGGTCGGAAACGATTCCTTCTGGACGTTACACACATCCACTTTTACCACAAATCTAATATACCCCAATACTCATTTTGAGTATCGGGTATAAAAATCGGATGCGGAATCGAATAATGCTAGAAAGGGGTCGCAGGGCCGTGGAGTGTCACCTTGCAAGGAAAGATTTATGCGTAGAGGAAGGGAGGAATTGGAAAAGATTTCGCATTTGAAATTGATAGTGGGACATGAGTGCGGGGATTTGTTTGCTGCTCTCAGCGGGCAGCGGGGGAAAGCGGAAAACCCCAAGCACTTGTTAACGCAAATGTTAGTCTGTGGCATCCACCCTCCCGATGCTCGTTCCACTCTTCAGTTGGTGGAAGATGAACTGGAGGGATTCGGGCTGAAGATGGTGAAAAGTGCAACAATTTTCCCACCCATTGAACGCCACTTTTCACAGAGTTTCTCCCGGCAATTTAATCAGCAAAGCGAAAGTTCTTTGGACTGTCGGATAAAAGACAAACAAAGGTGTCGGAGAGGGTGTCCTTAGAGAGGCAAGGAGTGGCACACTCACCTTTAATTATCGCCAGAAAGATCAACAGGACAAACAGCGACAGAGACGACGGCAGCGAGGAGTCCATGTCCTTGGTTTGCTTGTTTCGCCTGCCTCCTGGGTTGAATAGCTGCCTGACCTCCGACTGCCTTCTGCTGCCTCTGGGACAAGCAATCCTTGCCTCGTCACCTTGGTTAAATAGTTGGCCAGGGTTTCTCCTCCGTCACCTCCTTTCAGGCAGTCGTCGCTCGCTGTGTCCGCGATGATTAGCACAAAAGCGGTAGCGGGAGCAGAAGCTGAAGACAAAGAGCTGGAGCTTGGACCGGAGACGAGACGCACCAACGGCGGAGGGTCAGAGTTCAGAGCGAGTGTCAACAATGGCCTCCGGTGAAGGCGGTCCGTGGCCTTTCCCTGCTCTCGGAGCCTGCTGCAGCGCTCATGAAACGTGTCCCCCTATTTGCCCGCTCTCCCGCCGAATAAATCTCTCAATTCGCTGGGATACTCTCCTCTCCGGTGCTTTGATTATTATTTTATTCTCCTATTTTTGAGCAAATATTTGGCACGCGTGTTCCGTTTGCTCGACTCGGATTTTGCTGCGGTTGCGGCTGCTGCGGCTTCCTCTTCCTTTTCGGGGTCTGGGCTCTGGACTCTGAGGTCTCGGGTCTCGGGTCTCGGGTCTCCTGGTCTTTTCGGGGCAGAAACGTTGCAGATTTAATTTCCGGTTTGCCTGGTCACAGATCTTTTTGTGAATATTTCTCTCCCTCTGTTTGCTGCCGCTTCTATTTGACTAATTCTCTTTCGTTTGCTTTTGCTTTTGCTTCTCTTCCTTTTCCCTTAGCGTATTTGCTTTTGCTATAATTTACATAATTTGCACTTGTTTTATTTTTCTCTCTTTGTTTTATGGTATTTTATTTATTTGTTGTTTGTTTTTGGAGCTTGAGAAACCTTAGGTAGCAGTTGTTGTTGTTCTTTCTTGTTGATAATGATCCTTTCCTTTTTATATCCTTCTTGAGTTCAGTTTAGTATCGTTGTTTCGTTCGGGTTTTTTAATTTTTAGCTGTGAATGGTAGAAAATAGTGGATTATAATACTTTAAAAATATACATCTAATATTTGTAATAGAGAATGGAATAAATAGCAGTAGATATCGTCGAAAAAGTAACCTAAAAATCTTCATTAAATCTTTAGAAATTTCTTCTTCAATCTCGAATGTTAATTCGCAGTGAAATATCGACAGAACCTTTTATTCAAGGATATAAGTACCTGAGTCTCCTACCAAATGCTGACTTAAATATCCACTAAATTTAACCAAAGTTCTGCTTGAATTTCTACTAGAGAATCCACAGATATCCTCCGAGAAGTCTTATTGAAAAGCATTTCCATATATTCAAATCGGTTTACCTTTCCCATACCCTACCTCCATTATACTTTCTTCAAAAAGACTAAAAGCTTTTCAGTAACTCTCGAAATTACTCTGATTTGCATTGCCCTCTTTGTTCATTAACTCTCCGTCTTTGAGGTTTTCGCGGATATACAGTATCTTAGTGCTGGCCCTTTGATGGCAAATCCTTTCGGCCACAACTTAGCGGACTGCTTAAAAGGAACCGCAAAGAAGAGTCCCACAAAATACACGAAAAACAGGAGAACTAAGGCCAGAAAGAACCACAAAAAAGCAGATAACAGAGCAACAGCAAAAACTTGGAGGAGCAGACTTAATGTTTAATTAAAAAATATATTCTGTTAACCCCATTAAGTGGTTCTGTTTTTTCTTCTGTTGTTGTTGTTGTTTTTGTTATTCTTTAACCCAATTTCTGGGTGCGGGCCCGATGCTTTGTCACCTCGGAGGCTCCACCTCTAGATCCATTGGCCCCCCCACAGCGGGCCCCAAACCGAGGGGACGCCTGCCACTGGTAGCAGAGCATCCATTGATTAGTTTTTGTTTTCGGTCAACAAACTTGAGTAAATTAAAACAATGAATTTGCGTAAAAACGCGAGGCGCACAAAAACAACAGCCACGCAAAACAACAAAAAAAAACAAGGGGACAACAAAAAAGAGAGGCATCTGCGAGGGTCGAAGCTATTGATACCCTGGCATATCCATTTGAAACGGACAAAAGGACATGCGTGGCAAAAATGTAGGCAAAAGCATAACACCCTCTGCTCTCCGCCCCTGAAGGGCATGCAAAAATGCGAGGCAGAAGCAGAAAAAATAACAAAAGCGAGCGAAGCGCAAATTAAAACAGTGGCTACGGCTGGGGCCAGAGAGGGTATGTTCTGGAGGAGGTTCTGGCTCTGGAGAGGCAGAGGCAGAGGCAGAGCCAGAGAAATGCAGTAATTGAAATACATGCGGCGGCGGCGGCATGGCTGCGTGTGGCGTATGGCAAGAGCGCCAGCGATGCTGCCAAGCAACAAAACAGCAGTGATGCCAGCAGAAATGCCCAGAATTATCGAGTACTTCGACGCTGGGAGTATCCGCTACTCTCAGATATAAAAAAAAGCCACAGCCAATACCACAGTTTACTCTTCCATATTCTGGTGTGCTGGTTCTGGTGTCGTGGAACACTAGTTCCTGAGAGACCATTTCTACAGTCTATAAGGAGCCCGTTCCACCTCAACACACCCTCAAATCCTGCAGAGTACTCGGTAGAAGTATCGCTGCATGGCTTCGCGGCGCCGGGCATCACTGCCACAGAAAGCCACAATAATTTACACGTGCTCGATGGCCACAAAGGGAGTCAGAGGCACTCAGAGGAAGGCAGCGACAGAGAACGGCGCAGAGCATAGACCCCATCATCTGAGGGATAAACTACTTCTAGGCGGGGGGGGCTGGAAAGAGCATTAATTATGATGGAAAATTAAAATATTCAACTTATTTGGAGTGGAGCCGAGTGGAGCCACAGACGGAGAAAGAAAGAGAGAGCTACTTTCAAACACTACCCCAAGGGGAAGTGCCTCACTCTCACTCTCTCTCTCTCTCTCTCTGTTTCTCTAGAAGTATCTTTTGGCTGCGTCAGCTGTTTGTGTAATTAGAGGTTTTATGAGTTATGTTCCCTCTGTGGTGGGTGCGTGTGCGTGTGCGTGTGTATCTGTAAGTGGCCAAAGGCAAAAGCAAACGCTAGGGTTCGCCGTTCTTCTTGGGAGGGTGGAGAACCCTTGGCCCTTGTCGCGGTTAATTAATTTCAAGTTTAGTTTCAGTTCGTTCCAATTTGCTGGCTGTGTGGGTGTCCTTGTGTGTGTGCGAGTGGCACAAAGCTGGCAGGTAAAAAGTTTCAAAGTCAATTTAATGCTTCGCCAATGATGAGAGGCAACATCAGTGGCAGGCGGTAGATCTGGCAGTGGCTGAAGCTGAGGCTGAATCTCCCACATACACAATGAGCCTTGAAATTGGAAAGAGTAAGGGTACCAGCCAAGCAGCAGTCGCCCCCTGCTCTTCCATTCCCCTCCTGTGGACGGGTTAAACTTGCAACCGCTTAGGCGCGACAAAAAACGCGCTAAAAGTTGCCTCTGGTTCGGGACTCGTTTTGAGGCTCCCCTGTGGCTGGGGCCTAGCTGTGCTGGTTGCATTTTTAACATGCTGCACGGCCTCAAATTACCTGCCACGGAAGCCGCACACACACACACACACACCACTCCCGTGTGGTAAGTGGCCCACAGTATCCTCTTTGGGGTTTTAACTTTTTGCGGTCGTCTGTTCATAATTGAACCCTCCAGCGGCACACACATCCATGGGAGTAATCCATGGAGATGGCTTTAGCTGCCTGCAAATTATGCTCTGGGGAGGAGGGAGCTACTTATCGGGGATTTCGAGCTGAATTAGAGCAGATCCTAACAATGGGCCCAGATTCCCTGGCCCCCCGATGGTTCCCTGCTAATCAGGTGGCTAAGTGCGCTTCGAGAGCCAATCAAAGTAAAACTGCATGTAAAATGAGCCTTCAGTTCAGAGTTTTAGAGTGTTTTCGATATGGCAGGCAGACAGACACGGACACAGACACAGACACAGACACAGAAGAGGTGGCCTGACTCTCCCTCTGGCCTTCCATTCACTCATGCATCCATTCATTCATTCAGGCAACTGCCGATAAACATACACAGAATTCAATGCACTCCCCCAGCACTCGTGCACACACACTCAAACACCCCCGATGCACAAATATTGCCCATCGATGAACGGCGAGCGGTTCAAAAGTCATTTCGGCAAAATACTGCTGCATACTTTTGTGCGGCAGCAAGCGGGCTTTCGAGTGCGGTTATTGGTGCCCCTCTTTGAGGCAGGCTGCACCGATGCAGGGGAGCTTTGGGAGTTCAGCCAGTGGGTGGGAGTCAAGGCTTTTGTTAGCACAAAGCCAAAACAACAAGTGCTATGTAATTACAACAACAGCACAAACGACAAGGGAAATGCAGAAAAGTGCAGCAAGAGGGGAGGGAAAAGGAGAATCAGAATCGGAGACCGAGACAGAGAGTGAGGCTTATTTGTTGCGCGGCTGATGGTCGTAGGAGATGGACCCGTGCCGAAGGGAACACAAATCACGAGAGAAATCCCCGGGTTTCAGGACTCAAAGACCAGGGACTCGCCATGAAATGATGATTCAGGAAGAGCCCGGCAAGCCCACTAGCATATATTAAGATTAATGATATTTGTCGCTATTCCAGGGCCTAAACTGCAGCCACGTGACCGCACAAGTTGTCACGCACACATCTCCAGGCCCGGCTGCGGGGAGACGCCCGCCTGTTGCCCATCCGCCACATCCACACCAACTGGGTCAGACATCGCATCGATAATGATGGGGATGGCGTTACTGATGGCAATGCTAATGGTGGTGTGCATGTGGATGTGGATGTGGATGCGGATGAGGATGACAATGATGATGACGAGTGGGAGAGAATGGAGATGCGGATGCGGATGCAGATGCATCTGCATGGCGATGATGACGATGATGATGATGATGAGCAGCTGACATTAGAACCAATTTAACAGCCATTGGCGCAGTTTAATTAAAATTGCGACCAAAAAATATTCAACTATAATCTATTGCAGGAAAACATATAGAAGGGTAAAAGATACCCAGAGAGAGGGGGACAGATAGAGAGAGAGAGAGAGAGAGAGAGAGAGAGAGAAGTTAATTTGATGGCGGAAAGCGGGAAATGGCACAGTAAACAAAGACAAAGACAATGGCCACCAGCCGAGAGTCACCCACCAGGACACATCAGGACACACCAGGACACCCGCACACAGATGCAGAGAAACAGAGAAATTAAATTGGAAATGTTGTAGTACGTGCAGCAGACAGCAGACTAAAAGGAAACACAGCAAAGGCATCCTACAAAAAAAAGGAGAATGGCTGAGAATCCATGTGTGTGTGTGTGTGTGTGTGTGTGTGTGTGCAAGTGCAACAACAAGTGGCCGCCAGGACACGGCAAACGGATGCTGTTGCTGTTGCTGCTGTTGCTGCAGGAAGCAGGACTCTGTGCCCATTATACGAATGGAGGCAGGCGGCCTCTTATAAGTTGAAAATTGTCTCAGATTTTCCCAGAAAGAATAATGGAGGAAAATGGGCAGGGGAAAGGCACGGGATAGCAACAAGCAACCAGCCACCAGCCACCAGCAAACGGAAGGAAGGCACGAGAATGCGAAAGTTTGATGCCCTCTAAAGGCACACAAAACCTACTGAAGAGGAAACTATTCAACAGAATGGAATTTAATAAACATTATTTCAGGGGAAACTACTTACTACCCCTAATCCGGGCATAAAATAACCTTCCAGATATATAGTTATGGCATATAACAGCTCCAACTCCATTAAAAAGTTATTCAACTCCGAGAAAGAGATACAGCGATCCCCATTCAGAGTCTTGGCCATCTTTCAAAGGGACAGACAGCCAAGACAAAGACATGGCTGCACTGGCAGTGGCAGTGGCAGTGGGGGACTGCCAAGATGCCAGATGGAAGATGGAAGATGGTGGGGATCTCGGGGGAGGCCACAGCAGCAAAGGAAAGACCCAACATTATTTAGGTTTAATCAGCAAAGCAGATTTGCATACGACAGTTCGGTTGCAATGAAATAAACCAACTGGAATCCCAGCATTCAGTATCCAGAGAGCACCCAGAGAGGACATCGAGAGGGTAGAGGCAGTGGGGGATCGGGGGAGGCAGGGGCAGCTGATGGAAATGGAAGGCAGGAAATACATCAAACAAATGAGGTGGAGACTGCAGCGGGGGAATCGAGTGAGGGAAAAACTATTATAAACTGTTGACAACTGGGGAAATGAACTTTTCGGCCGAAATGGCAAACGTCCATACTCCGAAACCCGAGCCCCCAGTCCCGAGCCCCGTACCACAGACTACGGACTCTCAATTCGCATTTCGCAGTTTTTGGCAATCAAATTCCGTTCCAAAAGTCCACCACAAAAACTGCCAAAGATCGTGGGAATTCCGTTCCGATAGAAACTTCAGCAACTTCCTCAAAAATGCCAAAAAATTAAAGAACAGAACCACCAGCAAAAACAGAAACCCAAAGACTTCCCCATCGAAAAAGTTGGACCGAATTTTTTGTTAATTGATGCTGAGCTGGCAAATTTCAATTCGTATTCGTAATTTCCCTTCCACTATAGTTTCTGGTGTTCTGTTGCCACTTTATGTGGTGCTCCCCGTGCTCCCAGTGCTCCCAGTCCGAGTGCCAGAGAATTAAAATCAAATTAAGCAACTTTCAACTTTTGGAAAGCGCACTGCGACAGCCCCATCCGGGGGTGACAGCCAGGGTTTAAAAAACTACAAAATGCATCGTGTTTCGCATCCGCTGGACACTGAAAATTGCTCCCCAAAAAACGAATAGAAAGCGAGAGTGAGTGAAACAAAATTTTTCGGTCAGCAAAAAAAAAACAGACGAAATTCAGGGAGGAATTCCAAAAACGTCTTTATGCGGGAGGAGGGGTCGGGAGGGACGAGGCCGGCCGACGAAAATTGCTTTCGGTGATTTTTATTGGATTTTCGTGTGTAATATGAAATTCATAACACAGCCAACAACAACGAATGGCCGACAAGAAGAAGGGGGAGGGGGGTGCTTGGGTTTGGGGGATACGGGATACGGGATAGGGCTACGTTGGCGACGATTTGCAGTTTTTCATGGAGCAGCCTTTATGCCATTTTGAATTTTCCTACGACTTTTTCCACCCCGCTCCGGAGAGCGCTGAGCTCGACACTATTTGATTGCTGGTTGCCCGACGCGTCGCTCTGACAAGTTGCATGTCCAATGCCCTAACAAAAGTGGAGTTGTGGCATAACGACATGCCATTACTCCATGTTACGACATGTTGCAGTACTTTAAGCGGAAATGGGGGCAAAGAAAACGACACTTTTCCGTGCATGTCAAATCTGGGCTTTTAAGGGCTTAAAGTTTCATTAACATTCTAGATTTAAAAGCACTTTAAGTGGGTTTATTTTTAATTCAAATTATTTCCTTCGTCCTTCTCGGGGAGCACTCTTTTCTCTATTTATTTCCTTTTCATTGGACTTACTTTCCATTTATCTTGTCCCCCACCTCCCCCATGAACACATTTTTACCTTCTTTATTTCTGTTTTCATTTTACTTTTTTGTGCTCTTTTGCTTGCTTGATATCCTGTCGTCCTTCCTCCGACTCTCACCTACTTAGCTACGTTCTGGCATTTCTCTTTCTCCTCAGTTTCCTTTCATTTGTGTGCTCCCTAAACCTCTGCTTTTGTTTTCTTTCCTTTCCGCTTCCTGACCTGCAGGGGTCTAGTCCCTAGTCCAGAGCTAGGGTATTCCCGATTCGTTATGGCTGTGTCGGAGTCATAAATCCTTCTACATTCTCCCTTCATTTTGTTTTGCTGCCTACATATCCTGCGCTGATTCGACTCGTGTTTGACTTGACTAGACACAAAATTGTGTGGAAATTTAATTTCAGCGTTTGCTAATTCGCTCCATTTATGGTGTACTTCGTTTCGTTTCGTTCCGTTCCGTTCCTTTCTAGTCTGTTCTATTCCCTTCCCCAGTTGTAGAGTCTGCTAGTTTGTCCTTTATTTCGTTATGTTTCCTTGTTTCTTCCCGTCTGTTCCCATTTCTATCATTCCCTCTCGAACAGTCCGTTCCGTTCCGTTTCGTTTCAACCTATTTCCACAAATTATCTTTTCCACTTACCCAGCAATTTTGTTGTAGAGTTGAAGCTGAGGTTGCTGCTGTCGTGGATGCTGTATCTTGTGGCTCGCTTTGCTTGTAGCTGTTGGTCTTCTGGTGGAATTTGTTGTATATTTAGTTGTAGACTTTCCCAGTCGGCGTTGTGCCTCTGATGACAGCAGCTGGAAACAGTCGGCGACCTTTTCGTTTTGAAGATGGAACAAACACAACAAAAATGTTGATGAATGTTCCATAATTAATGGAAAGATTTAATTGCTCTTTTTTATTTGTTTTGGTTTGCTTTGTTTTACTTTGTTTTGTTTTGTTTGTTTGTGTGGCTCCTCTTTTGCCTCCTCTGTGTTTCTGTTTAGGTATTTTTTTTATATTTATTTTATATTTGTTTTAATTAGAAATTGATTTTAATTCAGTTGCTGGTGTTTTTGGCTTTTAGCTGCGTGCATATAATTTTTAGTTTTCTTTTTTGTCGTTTTCTGATGGATTGATGGCAGTGGCAATTGATGATGGAATTGCTGGATTGATTGCTTGCTGGATTTGGATTGCTGATCGAATGATGGATTTTGGACTTTGAGCTGGCATTTTTCGTTTTGGGCTTCTTCTCATTGGGCATTCAGCAGCAAAGATACAGATACGGATGCAGGTGCAGGTGCAGATGCAGATGCAGACACATGGATGCGAGAGAAGAGATGCAGATGCAGATACAGATACTGATACAGATACAGATACAAATACAGATGGTTTGGGTTTCTGTTTAGCATAATTACTTTAAACTTTAAGCTTTTCTCTCCTCTTTTTTTTTGTATGTATGTATTTAATTAATTCTTTTATAATTATGAACACATTGTTGTTGCTGGGGGTTTCCTCTTCGTTCGTTATTTATTTGCTTTTTTTAATCATTTTTTCTGTGCGGTTTTTGTTTAAATATTTGCATATTGCATTTATACAATGAAAGCAAAAAACATTTATTTAAATTTAATTTTATCTGTATGGCGGATGGGAGGAAAAGAGAGAGACAGGAAGAGAGAAAGAGAAAGAGAGAGAGAGTGAAAGTGTGAATATTTATATAGTTAAATGTTTACTCGAATATTAAGTAAGAGGCGAGTGGGGAATAGGCTGTCGTTCCATCGATGTATCTCCGATGAAGAGACTCAATCAATCTGTCAGTGGAGTTTCCAGTTGTCCTTTGATTGATTTCCCAGCCACCCATCTAGTGTCGCCCGTCAAAACAAAGGACTGGCTACTGAGCCAGAATTGGCAATCACCAGCCGGGGCTTAAGCATTGTTCGCCAGATACATTTGTATCTCTTCCCCAGCCTGTTGCACTGCCACCACGCAAAAGGTAATTGGATAGGGGAGGGAGTCCCAGTCTAACAGAGGGATATTCCAGAAACGATATATCCATTTCCCATTCTCGAACTTCGAACCTCGAGCCTCGAATTGCCTCCGCCCTGAAAACTGTCGCAGACCATAAAAATTCAATTCTGAAAGCGAAACACTGAAGCAATAAGAAATAACAATTGCCTCAGTCACGCCCGGTCCTTTTCCAGTCCAAGTCCAAGTACAATCGTGTCCATGCCACACCATCCTGTAGGAGTCCCATTCCCAACGCCCATCACGTGCCACAATTTACGGTCAAAGTTTCGAGGGTCGCAGCCATCGCAAAACTGTTAACTGAATGCCAACTAAACATTAGTTTAATGTGGCTCCTCCTTTTCTCTTCCGTGGAACGTACCCCCTCCCCCCTCACCACGTCTATTGATAAGTATATAAGTACTCCGTATTCGGAAAGATAGCCATGGAGGAGCAGCGGGCACAAAAGTTTGACAAAAGTCACTTAGAGCAGCCGCAGCAGCCATTTGGAATATCCGTTATGAGGACCCAATCCAACAGAGCACAGAAGAAAACGAAACAGAAAGGAAAACGAAAGAGTGGATCCAACATAAAGAAGGGGAAGTGGAGTGCAGAGAGCCTGAGAGCTGAAGCTACTCGAATGAAGAGTGTCCCTTAAGTGATTCCCGAAACTAAAAGTTTGGCTCTTTCTTTTTCTCCAAAACTATTCTCATAAATCAATCCGTTGTCGATGGCTGGGAAATTGCCCAACCATGGATCAAACGAGCAAAGAATCACAATAAAGTAAAGGAAATGTACAATAAAACAATAAAGAATAATTAAAAGATCCCGTTTTATTACTCATTCTTCAGTGGCCAATGAAATACACACACCTCAGAAATCTGTATTCATTGGAGAGACTATAACGTTCCATAAACGTAATCCACCCAAATAATACCCTGGGGTACCCGGCCTTTCGGGGGGAAAATGATAAAAAGAGTTGAGCCACTGACCAAGAGACACCCGAAAATAAAGCAAAGAATGAAAGAGGACGAGAGGACGAAAGGACGAGAGGGGGAAAAAATCCCAGTCACTCAGCTACTGGGGATTTCTTTGTTGTAGTTGCTTCCGTTATAGTCGTTCGTTATACCCTTCAATTGTGGGTACAATGATTATCAGCAGATGCCTTCGATCCATCTATCTGAGTGGAACCTTTCTTTGTGCTGTCCTGCCATGTGTTTCCTGTCATTCGATAGCCACATTAGATCCCAATCGGATCACGGGTCGGCCATAGGAGCAATAGATCTGCAAGGGTATCAGATGCTTCGGTATCCGAATTTAGACTTCCTTTCTTTTCATTCTTTTTTGTTCTTGTTGTTGTTGTTGTTGTTGTTTTGCTCTGTGTTGTTGGTAGACAACGTTGTTATTTATGACAATTTCATTGTCTTGTCCACTTGCTGCCCTTTTTATTTCCGTCTTTGCCTTTTGCTTATTTACTACCACACATACAGAGTAACAGACAGAGAGACAGACACATACACACACACACTGGGGTGTGGGAGAGAGATGGAGAGCTCTCTGGGCTTTTGTGTAGCATACTTTTGTGCGCGCGGCGTTATCAAACGTTTTCCGCGCTGTTACTCTTAGGATTCTGTGTGTGTGTGGTGTGTGTTTTTTTAAGCATCCACAGGATGTCTCCCCACCCCAGTAACCAGTGACTAGGACATCTTTTTAAACAGCTCTATCTGTGTATGCCTCTCTCGCGCCGTATGCGTGTGCATGGGCATGTGTGTGTGTGTGTGTGTGTGAGTCTGCATGGCTGTTATCAGTGGCCCAGAACTCATCGCCCATTGATGGAAAGTTTGAGTGAATATTCGGGCTACTCATTTTTCGACTCAATTGGGGGAGTGAGAAAAAGCGAGAGCGAGAGCAAGAGCAAGAGGAAGAGCAAGAGAGTCGAGTGCTTGGAAACAGACTCAGGGAAGTCGGGACTCTGTTTACACTTGGAAGCGCAGCAGGGGGCAAGGCGGCAAGGTGGCAAGTGGGAGGCAGGAGGCAGGAGGCAGGAGAGCCAATTGTTGCAAGCCCTGTATACTGCTTACTGCTGCTGCCCTTTGTTGTTCCCATATTAAAGAAGGCAAGCGGGAGAAAAGCTTGCTGAAAACTCTGTGCCACACACCCACACACTCATGCCAAGACCCAACACCCACAAATATTTATGTATAACCAATTTGGAGTGTTGCCGCTCGTTCTTTTCCTCCTCCTTTTTTTTTGTTGTGCTGAAAAATTGATGAAGGCAAAAGTGGCTTAGGAATTTATTTAATTAACCCCAGACTGCCAAAGAGAGAGTTAAAGCCACAACCCCACTCCTCTTATCCGCTCCCCACTCTCTGAATGACAACAAAATTGTCTTTTAAGTGTTTTATGAGTGCGGCATGATCTCAAATGATTTTGCTCTGTCTCTGTTCCTCATCTGTTTTCTCTTCTTGTTGTTGTTGTTGCTGCTGGCATGTGCTCCAATTCCCCCAACAAACATACGCACACACACACACACACACTGATATGTATCCAACCACATATACAGACAGACAGACAGAGAGGCAGGAGTACAATGACGAGAAATAAACTTGCAACTTGTTTGCGCGCCTCGTGCGTCTCTCCTTTTGCTGATTAGAAATGCTTTTGATGTACGTCTGATGAAAATCCGTTAACCAAGCGAAACGAAATGAAACGAAACGAAGCGCGAGCTTTACCGTGCTGTGGCAGTGGCTAAGGGCATCCTGTGGCAGGGCATCCTGTGGCAGGGCATCTGTGGCAGGGCACTGCGGCAAGTGCAGCCACCTTAATCAAACATAATGAGCAATTAAAAAAACTTTCCTTTCCTTTGTTTAACAAATGAAAGCGAGGGCCGAAAGAGAGAGGCAGGAGGATGTCGGACGGAGGAAACATTATAAAATTAAGATTAAAACAATTGAAACTTGGAGAAAGTAGAGAAAGTACGTGAGTAAAAGCAAGCATAGGGGAAGAAGGAAGGAACATTCTCTTCACCTCTGCCATTTGGAAACTTAATATTTAATTTCAGAGAGAAACTCCATCCGGTTTTATCTTTTTGCCACATTTAATTGTCAGCAAACCCAAAAAAGAAACTCCCTCGCATTTAATGGCCGAATTTTGTGGCTGGAATAAGATGCCCCCCTGGAGGAAAACACTTCAACCATTTGAAAGTTTACACCTTCAGGGCGGTCTCGGTCTCTGTCTAATTTTTCGGCTCATAAACTATTTGCTGACCCCTCACCTTTTGCAGAGTTTTATTAATTGCTCCTGCCACCACACCTCCACATGCGCCTCCCCATTCGCACTATCCGGCTCTTCCTGCTCCGGTTCCCACTCTAAAAACTGCATAAACTTGTAGTTTACGGTGGATAATATTCCATTTTATGCATAATAACTTTTTCTTTTAAGGATCATGGTCTCATGGCGGCAGGCTTACCTCACGCTCCTTTTCGTCCCCCCTCCACCCCACTTCCTGGTGGTGCATTCCCTCATGGGCTTCATATGGCATTCCTTTATTTCGTTTTTTTTTTCTGTGAGACTTTGAGTGTGGCCTTCAACCCACGCCCCCTCCAGGCCCCACCACAGCCGTCTATACAGTACTTGCCCCCCGCCACACCCCTCCCCTCCCGTCATAACCCCTTTCGGTTGTATGTTAAACCAAAAAGTTGTAAATCTTCCAACTTACGTTTAGTGCAACAAAGTCGCGTTTTCATATGACGAGAGCATAAAAGAGTAAGCAACAAAAAAGTTTACACACACACACACACACACACACACGTCCCAGCAGAGCACAACAGAAAGAGACTGAGTGGGAGAGAGAGAGAGAGAGAGATGGGTAAAGGCCAAGTTTAGTGGGTGGTGGAGGGGCGGAAAAAGCGCCGAGCTCGACAGAAACTCAATGCTGGCGACGAAGATGTTGTTAAAATAAAATAGAAACGAAACGAAAGCGAAGGCAAACGTAA